GGGGCGGCTGCACAACAAAGAGCACACAGGGGGGCGTCTACACAGAGGCACAGACATCCCACCAACCTGCACGCGCGCTGTTTTCTGAGAAGAGGAATCTGCAAACCTGGTTTTACAGAGGCTGGTGAGTTTTCCTCCTTGAGGTCTGGCTGCCTTGGAAAACAGATAATGCCCCAAAAGGTACCGCCAGGAAGGGAGGAGTATGTGCGCCCAGTAAGGGCTGAGCAGCTGGAACAGCCACTGGGGGTTTATGGGCTCTGGGAGGTGTTTTGAGCTTTAGTCACCCGTGGCATCCCCCTTCCACTTCAAAACCTGCGGTCACGCTCACTTCCACGCTCTGTTTCGCCTCACGTCACCCCCAAGGAGGGAAGAACCTCCTGGAAATCGTGGGCTGCCAGAGCTGGGAGGAGCAGGGTACGAGCGGTCCTGGGTAACAGCTCCGAGCTCCTTATCCCAGTAACAACTTCTCTTACAGCCGCTTTGCCGGGGTGACGCCGTCGCTGCTCTGCAGCTCCTGCCGCCGTCCTCGCAGCCTGAGCCCGGAGCGGAAGCACAAATCTCCGCGTCAGAGCGCAGAGGTACTGCCGGTGCCCCGGGGGCTCGGAGGCGACGCTCGGTTGTTTCCTTTCTCCGATCACACCTCCCGCGTGTGCATCAACCCCAGTGATCGAGGGCCAGGGGGAGCCCAGACCCCGCAGCCGCCCAGTAGAATTTCTAACTTCAAGGGCGGCAGCGCTGTTCAGCCCCACGGTGTGTCCTACAGCTTTGTTTGGTATTTCTCATCATCTCAGAGCTTAAATGTATTATTGGGGTCTGCGCTACCTTAAGTTCCCAGAGCTCATGACTTGCCCTAGGGAAAAACATTATTCGGTGTGGGCTGGCAAACCCGTTTTTATTTTGCTTGCCTCCAGAACAAGTTAAATCACCTAAAAAGCTGGAGAACCCCCGTTTCCGAAGCCCCTGCCAGCCCTCTGGCGTGACGCTGACCCCCAGTTTTGGCTCTGCAGTTGTTGTGCCTCTCTGCATCGAGACTCTGGCACAGGTTTAGAGCTCTGGCTGACAGGTCACAAACCAGGGGTTCTCAGAGCAGTTCGAGGCCGCTGGTTTCGGGGCGTGACCTCAGTGTGACCTCGGGGAAAGGCCCCGGCACCCGCCACCGGCCCTGGCTCAGCCTGCTGACCCCCGGGCTCCCTGACACAAGGCGCTGGGCGCTCCCTTCCCCGGCGTCCTCAACCACTTGAATTTTAACTCAATTCCAGGAATTCCTGGAGTCAGACCCCGACCCAGACAAGGCACTAAGCCTAGCACCTTGCCCATAATTCTGTATTTGCTTATCTTGCCTCTTCACAAGCCACGGTGTGATGTGCCTTCACGCTGAGGGGACACCTGGAATCTACAGCACTCGGAACATACGCGGAAGAATCTCACTTTGGCAAAAACATTACACATCAGCACAAAATAAAACCATGAAATTTGACTTCCACGGGCTTCAGAAAGCTGTAAAAACACCATGTGGTCAGTCCCAGAGCTACTTTCAGACACCAACGAGTAAACAGAGTCAAAATATTGCCTCTAATATTCCTGTGCACTCTGATCTCTAAGAAATCCCCCACTTACAGAGAAAGCTTCCGCCTAACACCCCCACAAAACACACAAACCACAACATTTGCCAGGAAACCCCGTTCAAACAAAACTTGAAGCATGAAACTTGCATCTCTGCAAGTTTCTTGAGCAGGAGAAAAGAATGAGAGTCCAAGGCAACAGCTGAAAGAAACGTTTAAAAAGAGGAATCTCATCACATTCATAACAAACTGGTCCAAAACCACCAAGGAAAACGTCTGGATCCTTTGGTGCATCTTCCCTCCAAGACAGACAGTCTAACCACTAGTGAGAAGGGTGCTGCAGGGTCTCTCTCACATTAAGGTGCTTTGAAAGCTTCAAAAATTGCATCACAGCCAACTCTTACCTGGCAAATCTCTCTTTATCATTTGGCATCGGGTCATCATCACATCTAGGAGAAGGGGGAAAAGAGGAAAAGTTCTTAAAGCGTTTACACTTCTTTCTTTCCCAAAGACACCGAGGGAAGAGCAAGATTTAATAAAACAGACAAAAAAGGCCCGGGGTTAAAAAGGCAAACTGCTGCGTGCAGGCAGTCCAGAGCCACGCTCTTCATTTATCTAGTTAAAAAACTACAGTTTAATCACATTTATCACCTTGAAGCTTTCCACATCGCATTCTTATCAAGGACAGGGGCAGCACACTCAGTAACTGAAGCACAATCACACACAAAGAAATCGGTTTGAAGATGCAGTTGGCCCAATCCAGACCCTCCTCCCAAGGATCTCAGCAGGCAAATCCTACGTTCCTCAGGACTGTGACCACCCCCCGGCCATTCCACAGTTAAAAGACTGTAACATGTGGCCTTCCAGAATCATCAGTTGTCCGATCCTAAACCACGCAGCGAGACTACAAATAAGTGACACGAGCTCTTCCAACTCTTCTGCATTCCATACGGATCACGAGGAGATAGCTGCAGCCTCGCCAGCTCCTCGGGAGCAAGGATGTCTCTGGAAGCGAAGCATCCTCACAACAGACGAGAGTCAAGCCACGTGTCTGCGGCACCGACAAAAGCTCAGCACCTCGCTCTTGTACCGATATTTGGCAGAAGAGTTTTCTCTCCGCTGAGCAGAGGCTTGGCCAGCAGCAGTGCTCCTTCAGCGCTGCGCTGGAACTACCAGCGGATTGCTGGAAGCAGTCATGGAGCTATTTAACCTTCTGAGATGCTGGTATGGAACACAGGGAGCTCTGCCGCACCCCCTCAGCCCAGCCTGTTCCGCTGAGCTCGCCTCGCCACGGGCCCTACCCGGGAGATGGCACCCAAGGGAGTCACGGCATCCTGCCCAGGCACAGCCCCTTCTCCGGACTCACAGAGCCCACGTGCACAGCAGCTTGGCTCTGCCCTCAGCTCCAAAGATGGAGGAAAGCTGCTGACTAGAGAAAGGGAAGAGTTTAGGGAAACGGGACACGGTCCCCTGCAGACCCCACTTCCCGCTGCGCTGCTGGAGAGGAAGAGCTCCGTGGCAGCAAGTTCCTGCTCGGGGGGAACACACAGACACCCCCCAGACCACCCAACGGAAACTTGTGGGTGCGATGTTCTCCCTCACCTGAGGAATTTACTGTTGCCTTCTCCATCATCATCAAAATCAAGTCTGAAAAACAGAAGCAAGGAGATGATTATTAACCAAGTGGTTTCGCCTTTACAGGTTGCTTTTCCATCTGTGCCTACAGGGACGCAGATGATTTCCGAGAGGAAGATTTAAGCAATCCCAGGGGCCAACGTGAAACGACCTATAAAGTTTAGAAGACGACTTCCTCTACGTGTCCATCGGAAACAGGGCAAGGAAACAGTTCAAAAGACAGAAAGCCCACGTGGAGCACCCACGGCATCACAACCTCCTGTTCCAAAAGCTCTGGATCTCCACAACCGCTCCTCACCGCTCCGGGGACCGACTGACAGCCTACAGACAGAGCACTCCCGACTCAAAAAGCTTGGACTGGTTGCTTTTTTTTTTTTTTTAAAAAAAAAGGAAAACAAAATACTTCAAGAGTTAAAGTTCAGTCCGGTGCCCTGTGTAGTTACTGTCCTGAGTTCAAGAGCAGACAACGTCACCGTGTTTGCTCGAACAGGGTCAAAAACCCCGTTTCCAACAAGCGCACGTGGGAGGACAGAGGAAAGGCTTTTCACTGCGTTTCCTTTTGGGGTGGAAAACTGGCGCGTAGACGCAGGCCGGCAGTGTGCGCGTTGGTAAATGAAGTGTGAGGAACAAGTAGCAGACAGCGTGGGAGGAGCTGCAGGGGAGTGGGAGCATCGGCAAATGGAGGTGAATGCAAGTTTGAGTGACTGGGGGCGGGGG